ATGCCGGAGTAGTAGGTTTCTGCCGATTTTCAATGACGGTGTTGGCGTCTGGTTTGTGGGACTCTTCTTCGCGATTATGTTAGCACTCTTGATTTCGGTTGGTGTTAAAGACGGGATGGAGTATCAGTCTCCGAAGTTTGTATTCGGAGATTGGGAGAACAAGACGGGATGGGGAGACGGGGTTGTATGGTTTTTGGGACTATTGCAGGCGGCTTATGGATTGACGGCCTTCGATTCGACGATTCACAGTAAGGATTTCAGCTGCTGTCGGGTTGATATGGTGGGCTAACCGACATTTTACAGTGATCGAAGAGATACCAGCTCCGCGATCGAACGGACCGAAAGTCATCTGGCTAGCCATTGTATGCGGCGCAATTAGCGGGTTCATCTTCATGGTGGTTTGCCTGTTCTGCGTCCAGGACCTAGATCTTATTATCGATGGGCCAACTGGGCTACCGTTTATCGAACTTGTCCATCAGACGGTCGGAATAAAGGGCGGTGCCACCCTAATGGTGTTGTTCATCGTCAACGGACTAGGTCAAGGTGTAAGCCTCGCAACTACCGGCGGTCGCTTGACCTGGGGGTTCGCTCGGGACGGTGGGCTTCCGTTCAGCAGTTACTTTTCCCAGATCGACTCAACATGGATGGGTCCCGTACGAGCACAGTGGCTGCAGGGTGTTATCATTGGCCTTGTTGGCGTACTTTACTTTTTTGCCTCGACAGTTTTGACGGCAATTTTGAGTGTAAGTACGATTGCATTAACCATATCTTACGGCATACCAATCGCCTGTCTCTTGGTTGCTGGGCGGGACAAGCTTCCTATCGGAGGAACATTCAACCTTGGTAGACTCGGGGCGCTCCTCAACTGGATCAGTGTGATCTACTGTGCGATAACTACAGTATTCTTCTTCTTTCCAGGGACGCCCGACCCTAGGATATCAGACATGAACTGGGCTATTGCAGTTTTTGGTGTGATGCTCGTCATATCAGTGGTCTTTTGGCTCATTACGGGAAAAGGCGAATATCTCCAGACGCATGAGGCGGAACTAAGGCTTGAGTTCGCAGGGAGGCTATTAGCAGTAGGGCACGCGGACCTTGAAACATAGTACAATGACTTAACTTTTTTTACCTCTGTTTGCTATACAGCGTATCAGATCAATTATCTCAGAGAAGAATGGCAGGCCACACCCCAACCTGCCAGAATCGAGCATCAAAAAAATTGACTCTGCAGTTAAAGTACACAGTAAAAGGATTTGGATAATCGTTAGCGAGACCCCATTTTAAACCCTAAAAAATAGTTTAGTAATACTATTAAAAATACATCTCTTAACGAGTATATGCCTATTAGGCATACCTCTATTAGGTACGATAAACAAATCACGGTCGCGATGAAGGTAGCAGAACAGCGAACTATAGTTGCGATGAGATAGCAGCACAACGAACTATAGTTACAATAAGAACACGTAGTACAGCGCAGCGCACTGATGCCTATAAATTCGCTATGTCGTTAGTCTGTCTCTCCTATCTTATCTTAACTATAAATTAATTTCAACTCTATATCTCTTGGTGCGACAATGCGGCTTTTCTTCTAGTTGGGATCCTAGCAGCGGCCAACTCGTGCTAAGCTGAACCCGTCGCAAAAGCTACAAATCCTAGTAGAGCTTTCTTCTACTATGATAATTGCTTTTTACTCTCCTCTGCCTTAGTATATACTACGAGATCTATAAGTATAGGTATCTATCTAGTTAAAATTAATAGATTTATACTAAAATAGTAGTGCGGACCCCTCCCTAATATTAATATCACTAGTAGATTAGAAGGTAGTTATACTACCCTAATCTACTATACGGACGCGCTTGCGGTATACAAAGTAAGCATATAGTTAATAGATCGCGTCAATAGACTAAGTAGAGATACTTATAAGTGTAACGACGTTACAACTTCGCCAAGTATCGGACCAATCCCAGAGCCGGATCGGAGGTAGTATTCGCCGCCCTCTTCATCAACCACTCGTTGTGAGGTCGGATCCGATTCGGATCCGACTAAGATAAGTATATAAGGAGACGCTCCCTGTAGCTAGCTCTGTAGACTTTTGATATCCTTTCGTACAAGGCCTATAGGTGTCTATTCGAATCAAGGCTCGTTCGATGTCCCACGCACTCCCATATGCCTCTGAGTGACACTACCGCCGATACTGATCCGAGTAGTCTTGCCTGCGCCGTTACAATAAGTAGCTAGAAGATTCTATAGATAGTATCTTAAAGGCTATTTCTACACTAAATCTGACGAAGGAGTAGAAGAAGTTTAGGAAATAATTTTGGAGTAAAGAGAGCTAGGTATAGATAGGTGCGACGCTATATTTCATCTAGAAGCATCTAAGGACAGTTAGTAGGGATAAGGCGGAGGAAGTTGAATGATATGTCGTAACTTTTATAGTAGATCAGACGTGTCGTTCGAATTAGCGCGTAACGGTATCGATAGGTAAAGCTAAGGATGGCCGGAGTGGTTGCTGTTTTGAATGTCTACTTTACTTACTAGTCTTAATAAATCTCGGATTTTTTTCTCTAAACAAATGCATCTCAGAAAACCGAAGCCAAACATAGTACAATAACCTTAAGTTTAG